GTTGGTCGCTCCTGGCGACTCTGAAAATGGCGCAAGGCGTAGGTGCGTATCTGCATTGCATTGTCGCGGGCGTGGCCATCACAACACTGCTGGGATACGCATGCCAGTACCCGTCTCGACTGTTTCACAGCGTAGAGCACTCGCTGTGTTGGCGGATAGACGGTGGTGCCGTGTTGGTGTACCTTGTTGGCATCCGAATGAAACGGGACCACCAAATGTGGCTAGTTTTGGTTGTCCATCGCACTCGAAGCTGTTTTCCCTTTGCTTCGCCATCGTTGGATGATGCTCATTGCACACTATTCCCTGCTTTCCGTATTGCTGCAGCTTGACTGCGCTCCCCTGACTTCCTTGTGCGATTTATTGCGACAAAGGTCCCTGGCTAACCTTCCCGCCGGAAGGGTTGACCCTTGTCGTGGGGAACCCACGGTTGGTATGGGTCCGAGACATCGACGGGGAACAAAGCGGGTCTAATCATTGGAAGGGTCTCCGTGAGTTGATGGCGGATCAAAACGAGGGTTTCTGGGAGAACGTGGCTTGGCACAGACACAGCTGCGACCTCTGCCGCCCTGCTGTGCGGTGCATGAGTGCCCCCATGATCTGCCCAACCTCAGTGGGGCCAGGTGAGGAGTACGAAATCGGGTACGTCGCCGATTTGCGAGTGTACGTCATGAATACATACCTAACAGGTACTCCGAAATTCCCGGTTGCGCTTCGCGCGATGCTGTTGGTAGGGCGACGTATTTCAGACATGTATCGGTGGTTTGCTGTCGCTCATGAGCTCCGTTGCGCGCTTCGGCGGTAAGCAGTTTATCTTTTGGCGGTTGCAGCAAGTCCAACACTAGGCTAAGTAAGTTGTTAGACTGTATCGTTTCACATGTTTCGTGTTATCTGTATTCCCTTATGCCACTCTCCTTGAACGGTGTGTACCCTGTTATTCGCACGTCTGACGTGTAGGCGTGCATGCATGCCTCGAACGCCGTCTCTTATGTCGACTACTACAGCCTGCACTTCCCAGCACTTGCATCCTGCGAATTAAGCCCCCATCCTTGCCGTCGCAACCGACACTGCCGCCCCCGCCTGTTGTCTAACAAACCAAAGGTTTTGCGAGCACCACGCTCCTATCTACGAACATCGCTGCGCCGTTACCTCCCCCGAGAGCCTCAACGACCATGAGGATGGGAGCTTGGCCTGCGCAGAACTCGCTGACATGGAAAGGCGGTGGAAAATTTTCAACAACTTCGGAGACTACCGGCGCAAGCAAAGGATGCGGGCTGCTGGCATCGAAGTGGAGGTATGTCCGGCGTACGCCCTTACTGGTACACAACTTATACAATCTGTTGGTGTTTGTGATGTTTTCAACCAGCAGGGCGTGTGTCTGTCTATCGGCGTGCCATCGCCTTCGAGGAACCTATGACTCGTCCCAAAAAGGTTTGCCTTTCCTTTCGTGAATAGCGGCCTCGAGTCCGACGGCGGTAGTACATGCGTACATGCGTACAACCCTGAACCTGGTAGAATATGTTGAACGGCACAGAGAGTTTGCATGACCTGAACCTGGTCAAATATGTTGAACGGCAAAGAGAGTTTGCATGTTGTGTCCATCCCTGCTTGTGCTGAAGCGCCGATTACTGAACGTCTCGTTCCGCTCGAAAAACAACACTTTGTTTTGACCCGTCGATATTCGCTGTTGCTGCCGGTCCACCCAGCCTGACGACATCAAACTCTTGCGAGTGATGTTTTCAAGGCGCAACTCATACGGTCATCTGGTGGGCACCCTCAACTGCGGTATTATTTCGGGAATCTCTGCTCTTGCAGCTCACGAGGGCATGGAGTGCGTGTGCGCGGCCTTGGATCTAATGTGGCCTGACCCTCTCTCCAGGCCTGGAATCCTGTTTTACGGCCTCGCGTGCCGGCTCCTGGAATACCGCCTCTGGCACCCTCACCTGGGCTGGCTGATGTGTCGCTATATCGTGGACAGGTTGTTATATGTAACTGTTAGTTCCCTTTTTTCCCGTGCCACCGATGACGTGTCTACTCGTTTTGCTGAGCTCCAGGTAGGGGACCAATACCAATAGCGGTTGTGTTGTACCTCTGTAGTTGGTCATTGCTACTTCACGTGGGGCTTGCCTGTCATGTTTTGTGACCGCTTATCAACCTGTTCGCGAACCGGGTCCTAGCCCAACCGCTGCATCTGACCGCGACCTACACGGCGACCTACAAGTACCACTGCTAGCGTTTCCCTGCCGCTTTCGTGTGTTCCGCCAACCCCTTTTGTCATGGTCATTGATCTTCGGCTTCCTCTTGCTGTGGCGTCCTCAAGATTCCACTTTCGGTCTCACAATGAGGTACGAGTGACATTTCCTTCTACAGTGAACGCATGGGAAACAATGTTCCAACTTTAATTTGACTACCGTAAGTATCGGATGTGCGGACGCCTTTGAAAAGTCCTGGTCAGATTCTGATTGCAAAGGCGTGCGGAGACCGCGATACCTGTGCGGAAAGTCAATTCAATATTTGGAACTCGCTTTTCTCCGCGCACCCTGTGCGGAGACCCCGACCGACATGTGCGGGGACCCCGATGCTTACGGTAGCTAACCTTGCTTCGCCACCCCGTCATGTAACTTCGATTGCCTCGTGCCCTGGGACTCGTGTTGCGATATACTGTGACAGATTAACTGCGCTATCATCAATTCACCGGAGGCCCGCGACGATTCCACGCTCTGGCGGACAAGCCCCGAAGGACAGGAAGAATTTCGGTGGAACTCAAGTCGGGCGGAAAGCAGCAACAGCTGGCTTGAAGGTAGAGCGTCAAAATGTACATGTGTGCTCACCCGCCCTCTTGTCTTTTGTGTTGACCCCGGAAAAAGAGTTCACTTTTTATAATTGTTGGTTCACTTTTATAACAGTTAGTTCACTTTTGTAACAAGTGATTCTCACTTTCATGACAGAGACTTGGCGTTTCCCTGGCGACGGCACAACAGGGTGTTTTCGTTAATGCGAGACAGCACACACGAAACGTCCAGGGTATACATGTTCTTGTGCGATCTGGTCTGTCTCTTGTCTTCCGACTGTCTTGCCAACATGCACGCCCACACCATCAAAAGACCGATTTTTGCGCCCACGTCGTGTTTTTGTTTCTTTTTGCTGCCATGCTTTTCCCCTGCTTTTCTAGGCTTTGGGGTCGTCGTCAAACAGATGCCTCAAGTGCTGAGGGACTTCTTCCTCAACCACGCCATCCTTGTTCGGAATGAGACCCTTCTCAGGTCCAAACTGATGAGCCAGCACCCTAACTTCGATGGTTGAGATCGGTGGTGGAGACATGCTGTACATGTTCTGGTTGTGGTGTAACCTTTGCGTTTGGTCAGCAGTTCACCGTTGTTTTTGCGGGTCTAGATTGGCATTCACCGATCGTCGGATAGGACCCCCGACAGAGACCTACTGTCACGGGTTGAGTGGTTACTGTCACAGGTTGAGTGGTTCACTCAACGACCTTCGTCGAGGTTGTTCATCTGCCGTGGGGTTCATTTGCGTCGTCGGAGGAAGGCCCGCGATGGTATCAAAGGTGTTGTCGGCGAGTGTAGTGTGCCTTTATCCCTTCACGTCTTGCTCGCGGTATGTGCGAACCTAGGTGAACCAGCCGTACACACACGTGAGAATCGTTCCAGCTGCACTGGGGGTTCGTCCTATTTATGCGGTGCACAACACGTACGGGCTTTCCTGCCCGAGGATCGCCATATCGCAATTACCTTCGTCACGTCATGCGCCTGGAACCTGTAACTGGTAACTGAAGTTGCATATTTCTATGATGCAATGATGCGCTTGGGCAAGTATGTGCTCGTCCCATCGTTCCGTTTCTTGATGAGAGCTGCAGAACTGCTCCAAAATCAAAGTCATTTTTACCGCCTGCCTGTTAAAGGTGACTTGCACGACCGTCGTTTTACTATTATAAAAGTCCCCAAACTGACTGTTAGTAATGTGCACCCACCTCACTTTCATAAGAGTCAGCTGACTGTAACAACAGTGTTTGAACTGATACCTCACTTTCATAATGGTCAGCTGACAGTCGTTTCACTTTTATAAAAGTCACCAAACTGACTGTTAGTAATGTGCACCCACATCACTTTCATAAGAGTCAGCTGACTGTTACAACAATGTTTGAACTGACACCTCACTTATGAAAGTGAATGAACTGACTGTTATAACAGTGAAATAACGATGACTGTTATAGGAGTGAGCCGACTGTTATAACAGTCAAATATTCACTTTTATAACAGTGAATCCATAAACAAGATTGTGTGGGAGCCCGAGACAAACTCAACAGTAAACAGTTCGTGCGCAGTGGTGTAAAAAACCTGGAAATGGTCAGTTTACTCTGTTTCATCCGTGGCTCCTTGATTTGAGAGGCTCATCCGGCGAGCACGGGTTTGAGTTCGTCGAGCACCTGAATGACGTTGCCTTAATTTAAAAACGTCGCGAAAGTAATTTGAGGACTTCCACTACGTTGCACGGTAACAATCTCCATATGAACACCTTTTGGGATGAAGGCGCAGCAGGCGCCGCACGCAAAGCGGAGGAGATAAGCCGATCGCAACAGCCGTACTAGAGTGTCGTGCGTCGATGGCCTCCTCTGCTGATTTCGTGTTTGCGTTCAAGCGTGTAAAACGGAATGTTTGCAAGATGCAGGGTGCTCTTCTACGGAACAGTGACTGGCAGGTTGGGGTGTTGGGTATCAAAACCGATGGATAAAGACCCTGGAATTCAAAATTAGATTTCAGATTCAGGAACGTGGCAGCCGGTCTGAAGCTGGCCGTCGACGGGAGAAGGCAGCCCACCCCGCTAGGTCACAGGTCGACCGTGCTGGTATTAGGCTGACATAATGATGAATTCGCGGTGTTGTGGAATTTGAAGGTTGAGAAAGAGGGCGCCTCGGTTTGCAGTAGGCTGTGCAAGAGTAATGAGAAGGTGTGCTACTTGCTTTACCATCCCCACCAAAACGCCCCTGTATGGTTCTCGGTCTCACATGATTCCTCGAAACGGTCCTGGAACAGCTGGAACGGCCCATGGGACTGTAGAAGTACCAAGCCTGCAACTCCGCTGCGCTACGCCAGAGTACGACCTACGCTAAATGCATTCCATCACAACACTTGGGTACCAAAAAAGAAAAACGTCATCGCGCACACGCTGGTGTTAGCTACGGTACTGAAATAAAACTCACTCATCGTCGAAACAAAACATTCGCTTCCATGTGAATTTAGGACCCGTGACATGGCGACTCAAAACAACCATCGCCCGTCCCTTCAAAAGGACGTTACTACTGCTGTGCGAATAAAAACACCACAAGGAAGAGAATCGCGAAGTCCGGTACAACGGTAGGGACAAAGCATGATCGAGGAAGCCATCAAAAACGAGACCCGTGACAAAGGTAATACATTACAATCTCCGGGAACGTGGGTAACACAGGCACCGACCCGTTACGCCTGACGCTGACTACATACTTATCCCAAAATGCTCATCGCTCTGCTACACAAATCTCGCATGCCGCTCCGGTCTCGTGTTCACACCTGAGATGAGGAACGAAGAATTTTAAAAATCGGGAAAAATCAAAATCCTCTACACGACGGGTGAATGAGTAACAGGAGATAGAGCGTGTTTCCTTCGCACATGCGCATGACGCCTATCTACTTCGCCGGCTGAACCGTGCACGGACCTTCTTTCGCACGGATTCCAGCCAGTTCCGAGTCCCGACCGTGTATGGGTGGTCTGCCCCAAGCTTCTTCGTGCGGATTGAGAGGGATCGTTCGAATAGCGAAATGGCTTCCTTGTGCTTCCCCTGAAAAAGTTTGACATGGGGTTAGAGAGGCGTAAAGCAAGCAGCACTCGGCGTGAGCGCGCGATGAGAGAAAAAAAAGTGAAGCCTTGCGTGAAAAATAAGGGCCGCAAGATTGTTCCTGAAATTCTACCGCTTCTCCCTTGTGCCTCCAACAACTCCGTCCCGCCCGGTTGTTGGAGCACTTGCGAAATGTATCCCTTATCCCACAAAAAAAAATAGAATTTCTGACGGCTCTCACCTGACTCTCCAACAACACCGCCCTGTTGTTAAGCGACTGGGCTACGTCCGGATGCTCCGGACCCAACATTGTCTCCCTTATGGCCAGTGATCGCTCACAAAGTGGCTCGGCCTCCGCATGGTTGCCCTGTGAAAAGGCGGTGGGCATCGTGAAGTCAATGGTATTCCGCTGAGCACGCACGAGCCACTGACCCAAGCAGAACCTACAAGGACAAAAACAACACACACACATCCATCGACCCCCACCTGCATCCTTAATAACTCCGCCCGGTTGTCGAGATACTCGGCAAGAACTGGATGATCTGGACCCAAAGCCTTCTCTCCGATAGCGATGGCTTTCACACATAGAGGTTCCGCTTCGTCAAACTTGCCCTATTCATAGAGCGTCAAGAGAAAACAGGACCACGTGTGATCCCGGCTAGAATATCTGAGTGGGGGGTGGGAGCGCGCTCAACAACAATCGGGTCGTCGAGCGACAGTGGGTGTTATGCGACAAGCCGCGTCAGAGTGATCCAATACCCACCAACTAGAGGCATCAAACGCGAAAGGAACTTGTCTAAGGCCGCAAGTAGAAACGAACCCTCGACGACGCACATGGATAACGTCCATGCAGCTGAAACATGCTCTCTCCGAGCCGCCTGTGCAACGAGGGGCACGGTTTCGGTACATCTGTCCCATGCCGTACGCGACAAACCTGGTGATCCACCAAATGGTGGCCCATTTAAAAAACAAAACCAGCCGCCGTCGAATGCCACTAGAACGTCGGAAGATCCCCTGGGTTGGGTCCGTACTCTCACCTGCAACCTCAACAACTCCGCCAAGCCGTTGAGTGAATCGGCCACGAAACGGTGGTCCGGACCGAGAGCCTTCTCGCGCGTGGCGTGTGACTTCACATACAGTGCTTGGGCCTCGGCGTATTTACCCTGTGAAAAGTTATGGGCTGCGATCTTAGACGAGGCTGTGGTGTAACCATGGAGGGATTCCTGTTTTTGACGCACGCAGCGATACCAAATTGGTCAGGACCTGGGGAGGTTGATACGACGTACGGACATGCTCGTACCCACAGCTACATACATATCACAAACACGGGGTTGGCGCAAGACAGTGGTGCACGGTGAACGCGAAACAAATTATCGGCTCCCGCTCAAGCGACACGCTGCTTCTCCCACCTGAGCCTTCAACAACTCCGCCCAGTTGTAGAGAAAAAACGCAAGATCTGGATGATCCGGGCTTAAAGCTTTCTCCGCGATAGCAACAGCTCTGGCGTATAACGGCTCGGCCTCGCTGTATTTGCCCTAGAACCAAGCGGGAAGAGTGCGGGGAGTCTGGTCTAGGATAGTCGAGAGTACCACGGTCATGAGCAACGACAACGACCTTGAGGCCACTGAAAGCTGTTCACAGTCTTGCGGGTTGTCCCTCATCTGAACAAAAGCCTCTTTGCACTTGATGTCTTGTAAGGAAGGGGCCCTAGAAAATCAACAAACGCCGACTCCCAACTTAATACATTAAATCATTGACGCTCACCTGTTTCTTCAACACCCCAGCCCAGTTGTTGAATGCCGTGGCCACATAGGGGTGTTCGTACCCAAGGTTTTTCTCAAAGACAGCCATCCGAGCGTACATGCTGGCGTATAACGGTTCCGCCTCGTCGTACTTCCCCTGTAGAGCAAGCAGTTCCGGGCTACTGGAGTCAGTGCATTGCACCAACGCATCCTTAAAAACACACACCCTCCCACTTCCAAGGGAAAACCACCCCCTCACCTGCTTAGTCAGTAATCCCGCCCAGTTATTGAGCACCTCAGCCACTAAAGGGTGGTCGGGGCCGAGAGTTTTCCGGCGGATGGTTAAAGACTGCTTCATCAGTGGTTCGGCTTCCTGATAATTGCCCTGCAATTCCATCAACACGCGAACAGAATGTGGTCACGCCTGAATTAACGGCGCTCAGTAGTTGACGTCTGTGGCGACCTCCGGTGATCAGAACCGTACACGTTCTCATCGATAGCCAGCGAGCGCTGGTAAAGAGGCTCGGCCTCTTCATACTTGCCTTGGAATGCGTCAGCGTGGCAAGGGTGGAATTTTGTTACAAGTCGAATCCAGAACTGCGGAGGAGCATCGAAACATAAATTGGCTCTCACCTGACTCTCCAACAAACTCGCCCGGTGAATGAGCGACTGGGCCACGGCAGGGTGATCAGGCCCTAGCGCTTTCTCGCGGATGGCCAGGGAGCGCTCATACAGCGGTTCGGCCTGAAAATATTTCCCCTGGAGCGCAATCGACAGCGTGGCAGGGTTGTATTTTAGTCAATATCGTAGTTGCACTGCGGAGAAACAGTTTTTTCTAGTGCTTCTAGAAACATCGTTTGGCTCTCACCTGTGCTCTGAACAACCCCGCCCGGTGTCGTTGGATAGTCGGGTGAGAACCAACCAATTTCTGCGCCCGGTTGATGAGCACTGCAATATCCGCAGATCATCACAAAGAAATTCTTCGAAATTTCTCACGGCTCTCACCTGCTCGTGCAACAACCCCGCCCTGTTGTTGAGCACTTCCGAAATCTATCGGGTACCACAAGAAACTTCCTGGAATTTTCTGATGGCTCTCACCTGCGCTCTCAACAACTCCGCCCGGTTGTTGAGCGACTGGGCCACATCAGGATGCTCTGGACCTAGCACCGTCTCCCGTATTGCCTGTGACCGCTCATACAGCGGCTCGGCCTCCTCATATTTCCCCTGGAATGGCGTCGACAGCGTGGGTCTTGTTTTAGCACAAGTGGGATCTAGAACTGCGGAGTAACACTACCTTCTAGAAGAGAATCTAGAAGCAATATTTGGCTCTCACCTGTCTCTTCAACAACCCCGCCCTGTTGTTGAGCGCTCCCGAAATCTATCGGGTACCACAAGAAACTTCCTGGAATTTTCTGATGGCTCTCACCTGCGCCTCCAACAACCCCCGGTTGTCGAGCACTCCCGAAATCTATCGGGTACCACAAGAAACTTCCTGGACTTTCCTGATGGCTCTCACCTGCGCTCTCAACAACTCCGCCCGGTTGTTGAGCCACACGGCAACATCTGGATGCTCTGGGCCCAACGCCTTCTCTCCGATAGCGATAGCTCTTACGTACAACGGTTCCGCGTCGTCATACTTTCCCTGAGATATAAGGGAAAAGAGGGAGGAAGGTGTGGTCATCGCTGTGTTATTGAACACTCCCGGAATCTATCGGGTACCACAAGAAACTTCCTGGAATTTTCTGATGGCTCTCACCTGCGCCTCCAACAACCCCGCCCTGTTGTTGAGCGTTGTGGCCAGACTTGGGTGCTCAAGGTGCTCAGGGCCTAGAATCTTCTCCTGTATTGCCTGACACCGCTCATAGAGTGGCTCAGCTTCCGAGTATTTGCCCTGGATGCAGTGAGGACAGCGTGATGGAGTCGTACTTCAGTGTGAAAATCGTAAACGGGATTGTGGAGAAGCATTTTCTCAACAACCGCGCCGCCCGGTTGTTGAGCGCTTTGGCCACGTCAGAATGCTCCGAGCCCAGCACCTTCTCTAATATAGTTTGTGATCTCTCATAGAGTGGTTCGGCCTCAGCGAACTTGCCCTGTGCAAAAAGCGGTGGGTTGCCGGAAGACGGCGGGTCGTCCAGAATGCAAAACTTCAAAACATTACGCGGACACCAACCATCACTCAAGACTTCTAAGCAACAACGACAGCCAAGTATTCTAGAGAACATTTCTTCGACTCCAACCTGTCATATCATAATCACCAACTTTGCCCCGTGCAACATGCGTGAGCTAGGGGCATGGTGCACCGAGAGTTGAACTTCTCGTCAATACATTTAACAAACTAGACTTGCGAACAGGTGTGCCATCGAATGCATCAGTAAACCAACGGTTCATCAGACGGAATAAACAGTCAACAGGACTCCGCACAGCATCTATACGCCACATCCCACAACACTATGAACACGCTGCGAATATTGCCAAACCCCAATGGACAACACCTGCCATACCTGGATATCGTACAAGAGAGCGACCCATTCGAGGCAATTAGCCACCTCCGCAGTCGCTTCGCATGAATCCAACTCTCCCAGAATGGCGCGGTACGAGGCAGTCTCCAGTACAGGGTCTCCTGAGAGCTTCTCTAGACATCGCCAGAGGGTACCCAAACCGAACAAGCCTTGATTGTCAGCACCGTGCTTCTGGTCTCCGTAACTCATGACCACGTCTAGTCTCCCGAGGTACTGCGCCTGCAGCGCTGTAGCCTTTTTCACCCTCTCACCGTCTTGCTTGATTTTAACTCTCAAGTACTTGAGGAGGAGGTCATGTACACGGTACCCAACTCCATCCACATCTTGCAGCAGACACTTGTTCACCAGACCCTCAGCTTCCTCCTTCGTACCCTCCACGTCCTGCAAGTTGAACACCAGAGGAGGTGCGCGTCGAGACCAATACGCAGCAAGGACATGACCACAGAAAAAAACGCGGATGTTCAACCGTGACATTGCATGTTGCAATAGTCCATCGTGCGCCATACGACTTCGCACAGTCGACTTTGCACAGACAGCTAGCCCGCGATTAGCAAGCTGTGTTGAGACGTCCAACAACCCGGTAGAAGGGACATCGCAGCCTACCTGTATCTCCCACAGATTTCGCAGCATCTCGAACGGCGCAACAGCGCCCGGTGCCAACACAGCCATCCTTAGGAACTCCTCCCGCTTCCTTGCTGCCAACGCATTGAAGCTGGCCCCAAGGACCATATCGAGATTTCTCGACTCTTCTCCCGGCTCCCACATTATCGTGGTGACGTTCTCGAACTCTTCGATCAGCTCTTCCCAAGCACCGTCCTTCAAGCCCTTCCCTTTCACGACGGGCATGGAACCCGCGATGGCGAGCACCAGGGGCAGGCGTCCGCAGCGGTCAACAACCTGGATCGGTGTTTAAACGGAGTTAGCACATCACAAACACGGCAAACCGGTTTGAACGAGATCACCACGTCAGCGATTCCCTCACGTCCTAACCCCTATCTGATGCACTAAGCACTGAGTCCGCACCCGATGCCATGCTCAACTCTCAAAAGGCACCAAAAACAAAGAACAATGCTAACACCAACATCACCTTGGTCATTTGTGTCCGGACACCGTCCCCAGGCTGACCCACAGTCCCACTCGTCTTCCACAACAGCTCCAGCGCCTCATCCTCCGCCATGTCTCCCAGCTCCAGCAACCCCCCCGGAACACCGACAATCGATCGGTCACGCGTGGTCACCAGCACCTTCAATCCCACCCCAAGAAACGCGGCCACGACCTCGCGCTCCCACACGTCATCCAGCACCACCAAGCGCGGGGAGGAGCCCCTGGATACCACCGCAGCCAGGTGTTGCATGACCTGCTCCAGGCTGTCGAAGACGTGAGGCACCCCGTGCGGAGCATCCGTGGGTGCTGCGCCCATCTCCCTTGCCAGGCCCTGCAGGCGGTGTAGGAGACTCTTGTTGGCGCCCCTCCCCATCTCCATCCAGAAAATACCCCCACGGAAGTGCTCCAGGACGCTCGACTTCCGCACTAGAGCAGAGGCCAGCACCGTTTTCCCCCCTCCACCCATGCCGACAATCATGTAGGGGGCGAGGGCCTTCTCTGGGTCCATGAGGTCGCCCATAGCTTCTTGGACGCCGGGCCGCTCCACGTAGCTGCGGGGCAACGCAAGCGCTCCCGTGGGTACGGCGGCCCGTTGGGGCAACGTCGGGGGGAGCACATCGCGAATCATGGTCGAGAAAGCTTTTCTCTGAGCCCAAATGACGGCCGAGGAAACGACGAGCAGCGCTCCGAACACCGCCACGATCGACACGTGCGATGCGAAGGTGATGCGCACCCCCTCAAGCTGTAGGTCTTGCAAAACAAGCCCTACCACTTCGCCCATGTCGATGTGCGATATCTCATTTCGGTGAGACAGTATCACGGCCGCGAACGCGACGAGCAGCGCTGCGAACACCCCTCCCGCGATCGCCACCGGAGTTCCCACGGTGTTGGGTCCCCTCTGTAGCTCCAAGATTTGCTTGATTGTCTTGCGGGTGTCGATCGACGATTTCGTGGCAATAATGCCGAACAGCTGACGGGCTTCCTTGTCGATGGCGTCCAAGTCTTCCTCGATCGACTTGTGCTGGGTTCCTCTGTTGACCTTCTTGGCAGCCTTGGCCCACTTGGGGTCCGCAGGGTCTGCCGTGTGTTTCACGTGCAGCGCGTCTATTTCCTCGTATAGTCCGCGCAGCCTGAGCAGTTCATTTTTGATATCCGCGAAGTCGCTCTGCAGCAGCACTTGAAGCACGCCGTCGTAGTCCGCGAGCCGGGTGCGCATTTTGGTCTTAACGGCATCGGCACCCTTCGCGGCATCGCGGATCCTTGTCCCCAACGAAAGCAGCTCCTTGATATCATCGATCATCTGGTCACGTACCAAAAGGGGCAGCAAGACAGCACACAAAAAAAATGTCATCCCACAATCAAACTGCTGCTGGTTGGGATGCTTTCCCTAATTTTGTAGCTTTGAGCAACATCTTGTACCAGACGCGCATGAAGAAGCTCACGATATCGCGGGGACTTGGAACTGTGAGCCTTGGCCCCGGGTCGTTTTGCTTATACGATGCTGCGAAGCGCTGACACGGGGCGCTGCTGCTTTGGAATTAAGTAGAAGAGCACGCTATGGACCACAGCCGCGTTGCACAAACGACGATCTAGACCACATCCTGAGATTTGCCAAAACGATTTCTTCGGAAAAATGTCGGTCTGGGGAGCATATGCGACACAAATTAGACGAAAGGATCGGTGGAAAGTAAATGAACCTGTGACTGCAAACAAGCCCGCTTTGCCAGAGTGCGCGCGATGCTTGGCAGGGGTTGAATCGCACCCTTCGCCTGGGAAATTCGTGGACTCTCTGTTCGTTGCATGTCATGGTTTGTCCCGAAACGCCAAAACAAGAGGATCGCTCAACACAGATGTAAACAAAACTTGCTTCAACCCAGCCTCGACGACAGGGTGTTAAGCACCGAATACCATCGGATGGCATACTCAACGAAGCTGTAGCCTACTGCGACTCGCGAACAACGCCCTCCACGGATAATTCAAAAGGGGATGCACAAACTTTCAAACTTTCTGTCGTAAGGCCGGCTGCACGGCAGATGCTAACAACAGCTGCTTGAGTGCAAGGCCATATTTCTGCAAGAATGTACAAAGGTTTGGCACAGGCACGATCGGAGGCTCTCGCCGGCTCTCACCTGGTGGCACCCTTACAGTACAAAAAGCACGCTTCTCGTATGTGAGAACATAGAAGAGGGACCTATCAAACGAAACCAAAGATTGGGAAGTTCCTGCTACACGATGGGGACACCAAATACTGACATGGCCTAGACGACTCTTCGGACGCTGCTGAACGGTGCTATGTACGCCACGATCGTTAAATGCTGCCGAAACCGCGTTCGTGGACGCCGAACTTTTGGAAAAATGTAAGGGCAACAAGAAACAGAAAAAAACGCCAAACTTCGGCAGAAAATAAAAAAAAAGGTGGGAAAGCATCCAAACTAGCTTGTCAGGCCAGGCACAGACCCTATCTGGGAAGGCAGCTCACCTTTGTCGCGAATCTATCCGATGTGCGCCGGGCGCACACTACAAATGCGCGACCACAAAAGGAAAGGGCGGTGTGGAAGACCGCAATATTGGTCGGAGAGTTTCTCCGCGGGCTCGATATGCAGGCGCAGGAGCGACAGATCCACGGCGATGTTGGAACCCGGCGTTACTGAACACAGGGCGCACACACTTGTGTTGGGTGCGTGCGGTGTGTGTCGAACGGAAGATGAAGCGCGGGTCTGAACTGTAGAGCGGAAGTGCGGGTTGGTGGCCCCGTAAATTCTTGGGACGTGGGTGCGTACCGATTTTTCCAGTTTTGTCAGTGGGACAAAAAGACTTGTCGAAAAGCGGCGTTCTATTCTAGACTTCAAGGCCAGAACCCTCCGTAGTGGAGAAGACTGGCACCACCCAATTGCACGTTTCTCTTCCATCCCATCAGCTCCCCGGGAAAGATTCGTGCGCACTGCTCTTGGGGGGGGGAAGCTTTTCCCTGGGAAAGGGGTAGTTGGAGGCTCAACTTGCGGGAGCGAGCGCTGGTGATACACCGCTTGTCATGCATCGAACAGTCTACGTGGACGGCTACAACGGTGAGGGGCATAGGCGTGCGTGGATACTGTCGGGAATCAAGCGACGGTCGACCACTCGCGAGCTGTGTTGTTACCCAAGTTGGAGCATCATTTACTCCATAAGACATCCTTCGACAATATCTGGTGTATGGAGGACAACTCGTTTCGCGCACGTGTAGCGGCGGACGTCAACAAAAAATCAGAGCGTTCGTGGACAATGTGCTGTAATTTTTCCTGGCGACGTCACTCATGCACTCATGAGTATGAGAACGCCCTTGCTTTCGTCGTATTCGATAGAAACCATGTCCACTGCGTAACTTCGGGCGCCCTCAGATGTTACGATGATTGCCGACCCCCCTCTCAGACTTACGCTCTGAAAGGGGCTTAGGAAAAACGGAACTGTGTAGAGCTAGCTAGTTTTGCTACAATGATGTTGCAGGGTAGTAGATGGCGCCCGCACTTGTTAAGAACATCTTAATTTGCGTGAGGCTGGGGTTCTTAGTTGCCTGTTGAGGCTGCGAATGGCCATTATATAGGTTTTAGTGTGAGGTTCTTAACGGGGACCACTAAAATACGCTCATGTTCATGAGTTTTGGATTTTTTGAGCCTCATGTTCTTAACAGGTAGGTTCTTAACCCCCTTACCACGCACCTAAAAATCAGGGCTGAGAAATTATCGCGCAAAAGATAAAAAAAATAAAGAAAAAAAATCGCCCTCTGATTGGGCAATGATGGACAGTCCGTGGCCGGTGTGCAAGGGAGAGAACAGCGCCCGCCGGAGCCGACTCAAGTCTAAAAGCCCTATCAAATGTCCCCTAAAATCGAGGGGACATTTGATAGGGCTTTTAGAGAAAGAAAATCGAGGGGACATTTGATAGCGCTTTAGAGAACAACTGGGGCAAGCGTGGTAAACGGGGCACGAAAAGGAGGAAAAGGAGGAATTCAAGATATTCCTCTAGAGGGAACGCGAGACCTTCAAACCAAAGCCCTACGTTGCACGGAGCCTCCTTTCATTGGTGGGCAAGGTGCTTCTTCGAGTCGGGCCCTGGTAGCGCTTTCTGACCAAGCGCCGATCGACGCGGCGCAACTTCGCTGTTGAACCTGCTGGGCTGCAGCGAGCACGTGCCGCACATCGCGCCGATATCCTCTTCCGCTTCCACTCCTCCTGTCCAACGCCACACTACGATAGCCCATGGCAGCAAACGCATACCCCAGCACTCCCCTCGTTGAGGAGTTCACGGGTGGAGACAGCCATGCCATTCTTGTCCAGGTCAAGGAGGCGTACGAGCATGATATCACGCGCGTCCGAGAATTTGTCTTCGATGCTGCCGTTGCGGTCGGAACGGCGTCATGTAATCACGACGAGCCGCCAGCGGCCTTACCAACAGGATTGACGCGCGATCAGCGCGCCCAAGCCGCCAAGGAGCACCCTGGACTCTGTGGAGTCTACCATGCGGCGGCGATTGCTGGCGTCAGCTACGCGGATGTGGCTGCTACGGCGGAGAGGCGTGGTGTTGGCGTCACGTTCAATGTCTTCCGCACTCAGGTAAGCATAGCAGCAAACGCGGATACAGGCATCACTGCTGATGCATAGGGCACGATACTGCTACGTCTTCTAGTCCATACTGGTATGGGTCAGGTTTGGATTGTAAAGTGTAGACAGCCCTCGGTGCCCGTGGACGTGCCCAATTGTGGATGCGTTTACCATTGAGCGAAGCCCTACAGCAGTGACTTTACGTACACACAACATGCATGCACCTCTCTCTGCTTGCCTCGAAACTCAACCCACTCATCACTAGACTACTGCTGTACGCATTATTATACATACGTGTAGTCGAACAATCAGTCGCCGCGAACTGACTGAGGGTTCGGGAGCAGAATGCAAGCACGCATCCTTACATAATCTTTCACACATCATGAGTAAACCATGCCATACCCAAGAAAACATTTGATTGCCGTGAAAGAGCGGCTGCTGTGTATTTTCTTGGAGGCGCCGTTATTCTGTAGTTTTTCTTGTGACAATACGACGTTACCGTGTTTTGCGGTAGGCGGGATGGTGCGCACTAACTTCCTCGCACCCCCGTTCCTCGTAACCACTCACGCCCCCAGTGTTGCTTCGACGCAGCAAAGAAGCTTGGTGCGGCTGGGATGGGCGTCCAACTCCCTCGCAAGGAATGCTTTACACAAGCATGCAGGGCTGTTTTTCCAGGGAATGGCACGCCGGAGCCATGGGTTGAAACAGCATTCAGCACTGAAAATGCGTAGGGGTCGAAGCTTTCTTGCGCGAAAGGAGTGGTGCCTAACGTGCATAAAAAAGAATGTGTAGCAGGATAAGCTTGTGCAGTTGAGTTAGAGATGCACCGGATAGGCCCGCCTCGCTTTTTGTCCCGCGCGGCTGGGAGTGGGGAGTGGGAGTGTCTACTCTCCTGGCGTTGCTTAATTTGGGAGAGGGCAATCTTGTAGAGAGAGCAACGACACCTGGTGCAGCCGTAGTTATTTTCCGTGAGCAAACGCTCTAAACGTGATATGGATGATGGCATGCTTTGGGTGGCGCGTTTGTAAGAATGCTGGTAGGGTCTAACGAATGCAGATGTCTACGAGAGAGAGCGGCTGAGGTTCACTGTAGTGGACCGTTTGGTGGCCGTTGAGAGAACAACAGGGCACAACCGAGTGCTCGACAAACGTGGTTCGATCTATACGCAATACCCCAACAAAAAATGTTCAACATATCGTTTGTGTTGAAGAAGCCTCTGTAGACAACCTGCCTGTGCGTGTCCCAACGCATTTGACAGGTGTAGGGGGAGCTGAACGCCTGAGGTTGGGCCAAGAGTTTTCAGTACGATATGAAGCAGCTAACAGCAATTTCAGCCCTCCCCCCGAAACACAAAGTTGTGACTGTTCGTGTTTGATAAAACCGCGATGGTTCTTGTCTGCGAAGCTGGTTTCATGACCGCCCAGAGAGCGTGAACGTTGTGGCAATGTCAGCCGACTATAGGCCGCGCCCATGAGAGCATTTGTGCGAATTCAGCAAATCCAATCCATCACATGATCCATGCCGGCCCCTAAAAAATTGAAAATGGTGAGGTCGCCGTACAAAACTTGGTTGTTGGCGTGGGTGCAGCCGCGATAATTTCGCTACGATTGTAATGCTTTTTTCGAAGCACCCCACAGTTCTACTTTAGATCGAACCCCATGAAACCAGGAGTATTACTTCTACGGCGGCCGAGAAGAAAGCTGCACTCGGATGACAGGTGATG